AAGTTAGAAAGGGTGACATTGGTGGATTTGCCTGCATTGAAGAGCATCTACAGTGGCTCTACTACTGTCTTGATCTGTGATTCGCTCAAAAGGATTGAAATTGAGCATTGCAAAGAAATAGAGAGTGTTTTTTGGACGGGGTTTAACCCACTTTCAACCCTTAAGCATCTGAAGCTACGGAACTTAATTAATCTGAAATCCGTGTTTGATGAAGAAGTTCTTGGTTTATCGGCCCGTCCCACCAACTTTAAAACAATTTATGTGGCTGACTGCCATAAGTTAAAGACAGTATTCTCATCTGGATGGTTGCTTGGCTACTTCCAATCTCTAGAGACTATTCAAGTTTATTCCTGTCACCAAATGGAGGAGCTGATATCATCATCGACCTATGAAGAAAAAGAAGTTCTAGAAGAAATCACTTTACCCAAGCTCCAAAGGTTACAATTATCTCGATTGCCTGAATTAAAGAGCATCTGTAGCAGTTCAAGTGTGTTGATTTGTGATTCCATGAACGGTCTGCTGATTCGCGGCTGTAAAAAGCTAAAGAGGATTCCTCTGCGTCTTTCCTCACTTGACAATGGCCAGCCTTCTTCCCTCAAAGAAATTGACGTAGACACAAAAAAACACTGGGAATCATTGGAATGGGACCAATCCAATGCAAAGGATGTCCTTTTTACCTTCTGTAAATTTCACCGTGACAGCAACAATGACATTGATGAAGAAGAAAAAAGAAATGTATGGTGATGACAACGATGATGATGAAGAAGAAGAAGAAGCAGAAATGTCTGATGACGACAACAATGATGATGAAGAAGAATCTCTTGGGATGGGCTAAGAAGCAAAGGAGTGCAGGCTCTTTGGTGATTGGGCGATGCAAATGTAAGCCTTTTTAGCTTCAATTTTCCATTTCTGATTCTGATTCTGATTCAACTCAGTAGGAGTTTTCATTTTTTATGCTTTCCTTCTTCCTTTCTATCCCAACAAATCTCTCTCACTCCTGTCTTATCTTTTTAATATCTTTTGTTTCTTCTCCCCATTGGCAGCAAAGCTGGAGCTGGACTCTGTTACCACAAGAAAGCTGGAGGGAATCACATTTGCTTCCTCTTGTTATTGTTGTTGGGTTTTCAATTTAATATAGATACACTCGTTTTTTGTTTTTTCTTTTTCTTCCCTTTTTTATTTTTTTGTGTTGTGTTTAGATATGTCAAATTCTAAGTGGAACTGTTTATTTCTTATTTGTATAATTTTTTCTTTTAAACCTGTGTAAGGATCTCTTATTTCCTTTGGTATTTCTTTTGTTGCATCTGCATCTTTGCTTTTCTTGTAATAAGCTTATTTGGCTGAAATTGTGAGATATTGCTATTTATCTTTGTTTTGAACCTTATTAGTGATAGTATAATACTACAAAATAGTATTTTGATTCATATTTTTTTTAATTGAACTTATGACTAAACTTCATCAATGATCATGCCTGTTTCAAAAGAAAATTGTAATGGCCATCCTTGGATATAGGTGTGTGTTACATTCATCTGTGGGCAGGCTGATGTTTGTGCCATTGATGCTGTGTTGGAAAAGCATGCTGGTGATGAGAAGCTAGTGGATTGCTATTAATTAACACAATCCAAATAGGTATTTGAGTGCTCTCTCTTTTTATTGGAGCAAAATTCTTATCACAGTGGCTTTGTTTGAATATGTATTCTGATCTTCAGTCACTTTTTAGAGCAGAGCAGAATTTCCTATGACTTGCAAATGATGTGGGAAAGAATAGTTCTTATGAGTTTGTTCCTTTCTAAACAAGCATTTTTTTATTAGTGAAGACAAAACATATACCAGGTGTCAGAACTCAAATTTTTATAAAAAAATATATAAAAATATGAAAATTTCTCTTTTCTTTGACTAATATATCTTTATTTTGTTTCAGGTGCTAC